TTTGTAATGTCTTCAAGGTTTGGGCATTTCAGAATCAATCTTATGTTGGCTAACTGGGATGGGGGTGGGGAGTAGATACCATTAATCCACCAAATGGTACATTTTGATTAACAGATTTTCAAAACCTTAGAATAATAAATGGTGTTGGGAAAATTGGACAGCTACATGCAAAAACATGAAACTAGACCATCAATTTACACCATACACAACAATAAACAAAAAATAGATAAAAGACTTAAATGTGACTCATGAATCCATAAAAATCCTAGAAGAAAATGTAGGCAACAAAATTTCAGATATCATATGCAGCAGAATTTTCACTGATACATCGCCTAAGGCAACAGAAAAAAGGAGAAAATGAACACATGGGACTACATCAAACTCAAAAGCTTCGGCACAGCAAAAGAAACAACCACCAAAATGGAAAGGCAACACACTGTATGGGAGAGCATAATTGCCAACGATACATCAGATAAGGGGTTAATTTCCAATATATATAGAGTGCTCATACAGCTCAACAAAAGGAAGACAAAGAATCCAATTAAAAAATGGCAGAGGAACTAAAGAGACATCTTTCCAAACAGGACATACAAATGGCTAAGAGACATATGAAGAAATGCTCAACATCACTAATCATCAGAGAGATGCAAATTAAAACAACAATGAGGTATCGCCTGACAACTGTCAGAATGGCCGCCATCAGCAAATCATCAAACAAGTGTTGGCGAGGGTGTGGAGAAAAGGGGACTCTAGTACACAGCTGGTGGGAATGCAGACTGGTGCAGCCACTATGGAAAACAATATGGTGTTACCTCAAAAAATTAAAAATTGAACTTCCATTTGACCCAGTGATCCCGCTTCTAGGAATATACCCTAAGAAGCCTGAAACACTAATCAGAAAGAATATGTGTACCCCCATGTTCATAGCAGCACTATTTACAATAGCTAAGATCTGGAAACAGCCCAAGTGTCCATCAGTAGACGAATGGATAAAAAAGCCGTGGTACATACAATGGAGTACTATGCAGCTGTAAGAAAGATCTCTTATCCTTTGAGACTACATGGAGAGACCTGGAGAATATTATCCTAAGTGAAACAAGCCAAGCAGAGAAAGACAAATATCATATGATCTCACTTATTTGTGGAATGTAATGAACATAACAGTCTGAGGAACGGGGTAGTGCCAGAGACGTGGAAGTGGGGTACAGACTGACAATCCCCAGATGACAGATTGGGGGGTAGAGATAAACCACAAAACTTACATACATGTATGCATGAACAATGGACATGGATGACAAAGCTGGGGACAGGGTGGGGAGGGAGGGGGCGGGGATATCAGTAGGGTAAAAGGAGAAACATCTGTAACAAAAATAAATTAATATAAAAAAATAAATAAAAGCAAATGAATTTTACACAGTGGAGTCAAACAGATACAAAAAAAGAAGTTAACATCAAGCTTTTATTGTAATTTTCAAGGGATGGTATTAGTGAAGAAAAGCATTTTCTCTCAGTAACACTCTCTTAGGGAAACATGAAATTAAAGTCAATACTTTTTTCATTAAAGTTTTTACAGCAATAAAACAAAGGCAAATTAAGGAAACAATGTGCAGATATTATAATATTAGTTTCTTAAACTGAGGTGTGACATTTCATCAAAAACTTTTGATTTTCACTTGGAAGGTGGCTTCGAGAAAGAAAGTAATTAGTGCTTTTCATATTGTGAGTTGAAATCAGACTGCTTCACAAAAAATTATATTTCTTTTTTTGTTGTATAAAAACATAATTTGTTGTGTCTTGATCTGAGGGACTTGATCATGTTAATTAAATCCTAAGAAAATAATCTACAGTGTTTATTAACGAACAAAGTAAGTACGAAGCAAATATTGTTCCTTGGACATAAACATGCAAAGTGAAATTGTAGGGAGAGCAACTTGAGGGGAACTTGATTGATTCAGTCTGTTGCGTTCTTCTCAATTGAATCCATCCCTGGATCAATACTGAGAATCAGTACAATCCTTCTATTTATGGTCCTACCCAGAGAGCAAGGGGGAACTTGTGTGTCTCCTTTTAACATTGCACTTTGAGATTCTATTAAAGGGTTTATTAAAGGCCCTATTCTTTAATAGTCTCTCTCTATATATATTTAGTCACAGGAAATTATGCACACATTTAATATCAATGCAGGACGCTGACAAGCAACTTCTACTCACTACTTGAGGAGAGAGCATAAGAAGGTGATTGTCAGACTAACAATAAATGTCACCCAGGGAGTGTGTTCTGCAAATGCAAAGACCGTTGACCTTCTTTAAGAAACATTAGATTGAAGTAGATAGCTTCACTGATATTTTCTTAAGGCAAGTTTTTCTTTTTCCTTTTTCCTCCCTGTCTTCCTCCCTTCCTCCCTTCCTTTCATCTAACCTCCTTTCTTTCTTCCTTCCTGTCTATCACTCCTTATCATTCCTCATCTGAAGCTATTAGCTATTAGGAAGGAGACAGCAACATGTAGATAATTATCTTTCTGCCACTGGATATGTTCTATTACATTCAGAGAATATAAATGGGATATTGAAAGGAAATACTGTTTTGTTTCGTTTTTTATCCTCACCTGAGGACATTTTTCCATTTTTTTGTTCAGATAGAGTGGGAGAGAGAGAGGGGGAGAGAGAGAGAGAGAGAGAAACATCGACGTGAAGACACATCGAGTGGCTGCCACACGCACGACCCAACCAGGGCCAGGGACAAACTACAACCAAGGTACACGCCCTTAGCAGGAACCAAACTGGGGTCTCTCAGGACCACAGGCCAACACCTAACCACTGAGCCAAACTGGCCAGGGCAGGAGATACTGTTTTTGTTTTAAATTGTGTGTGTGTGTGTGTGTGTGTGTGTGTGTGTGTGTGTGTGTGTGAGAGAGAGAGAGAGAGAGAGAGAGAGAGAGAGAGAGAGAGAGACTTTGCTAGAATCCCCTTGGATAGAAAAGAAAAACTGGGATTGAAAAATATATACATTTATAGCTTGCCTTTCATCTGAAGGGCTTTTGTGACTACTTCACAGAATATTATAATAGTATATTGTGAAAAATGTTTTATGCAACTTATAGAAACATGACAACAGCTTTGTGATCTAACTTTGATGAACTATAGGACTAGAAAGAGAGGATCTAGAAAGACAGGTTTGGAGAATGAGCAGGAAACGGTGGTTTTCTTGACAAGGAGTCAAATATTCGATTCACTGTATTTATGATTCCAAAAACCTTGCATCACCTTGCCCAGAAAATTCAGCAGGAAATTGAATTTGACCTAGGGTGCAAGTTAAAGGTTTGAGATGCCATTTTGACTTCTCACGCCCCGTGAGAAGGAGAGAATATGCCAGGCAGATATTTGTAAAAAATATATTACAAATCACTGATTCTGTTGACTTCACATTGTTTGATTGGAAGTAATTTCCCTTTGATTGTTTAATTGCCTATAAGTGCTTTCTCTTTGCATCTAACGATGATGGCTCTGTCAGGAATAGTCTGCCAGTAGCTTAATGTTTGGCTCTTATGCTCCTTATAGATGTAGTATTCTCCTCTCTTCACAGGGCCTGTGTTGTTGACCTCCCCTAAAGACAAAACACAATTTCATTTAACCCGTACTTTTCTGCAGAGGAACAGTTCTTGAATTGTCTCTAATTAATGTCAGTTTTTTAAGGTAAAAGGGATCAGGTATAGGAGTTTTCTAAGAGAATTTCAACATTTTGTGTTTTCATTTCTGTGGTGGATGAAATACATTAAAATAAGCATAATCAGAACGGGTCGTATATCATTCTCTGCAAGGTAGTTTTAGATGTTTGTTATGTGATCATGATTCGTTTTTGACACCAAGTATTATCCTTTTACCTGCCACCAGTGAGTGGTAGGACAGACTGAGTAAATGATGCGTTTGGACCCCACATAAATCAACGGTGCTGTATTGCTGAGAGTTTTGCTATAGTTAAAAAGAGAAAAGGAGAGTTAAGTCATTCCAAGGTACACGCTAGTCTGGGCATGCCAAAATGAAAAGAACCTGTGCTCCAGCAGCCAGCACTATATGTACAATGTAAGCACCAATTTAGTTTCACCAAAACATCATTACTGTATATTAATATCATTAATTTCAATTTTATTGGCTTTATATTTTACATTTATATACATGTTAGGGTTCTATAGTTATGTAAAGCTCTAAGCATAGGAAAGTTATTCCTAGTTTTATGCGGGTACATATAAGATATATAATGTAATGAAATGTAATAAAAATAAATTTTTAGGTAATATTTAGGTAATGTAATAAAAATAAAAACCTTTTAGAATGGTTTTGTCTTTGAATGATGTCAAAGATAAATACAGCTGTATATGTACTTAAAGTGGTGAAAACAGTTTATTTAGTAACTATGAAGGTAGGGGAAAGAGCTGAGCTCCATTCTGCTATGTATGTGCCCAGGTGATGGGCGGTTTGAAGGGAGAATGGGGGGGGGGGGCAGTGGGGGTCTGAGCAGAGCCAGGGAAGTGAAGAATTGCAAAACGCAGGAAAGGGTTGGTCCTCATCTATCTGGGTTTGCTAACTGCACTTGTTGAAGTTTGGCTCCTGCTCGTCCCCAGAGACCAGGAGACAGGCCCGTCCTGAGGTGCGGGCTGGAACAATTAGTGAATTCCTTTGGTAGCCTTGAGTTTTCTCAGGCAGGCACTTGGCGGGGACTAGGGTCATCCTAGGTATGTGGCCTGAGCTGTTAGAAATATGTTAAAGTTTATTCAAGTCTTTATAGGATAAGCAAGGTTGAGGCCTATTTGTAAAAAGGGCACCGAGGAGCCTGCCTGGAGTGTGGTCCAGGTGCGAACCTTTGTCTGTGATAGTTAAACTGGCAGTATGCTCTCACTTTCTTATCATTACAGTGACGCTGTGTATCAACTATTTGAGAGAGTTCGATTTTAAAATTTTAACTGAAAAAAAAAAAAAAAGATAATTTATGCTGTTTCGTTTCAGGGCCGAGATCTGGACTGTAAAATTCAGGAATATAAAGAAGCTGGAAAAAATTTTTCAGAAGGTCAAATAATAGAATGGTTCGTCCAGCTGTTGCTGGGAGTTGACTACATGCATGAAAGGTATGTTCATTTGTTACCGAGGGACAGGACTTTTATAAACAGTCATGCCTGAACTTGAAAAGGAAATTGTTGGGGGTAGAATTCAAAGAAAGCAAGACCAAAATATAAATGACTACAGTTAAACATCTATAATATACTTTTCCATAAGAAAACTGTTGCAAGATTATATCTAGAAGATTTACTTGAATAGATATTATTTATTTGTTATTCTAGAAATCAAGTTGGCCTTGACTAGAAGATAGAAAATTGTATTAGACACATTCCCTATATCTGATCATATCCTGTGAATAACAAGTGATTCTCAGATACCTTTAGCATGCTTTGAATTTATTATATCTTACAGCAGTCTTGAGCTATAAATACCCCTAGGTTGCTACAAATGCATTGCATGGTTACCCTGGAATGTGTTCATGCACATTTAGCAGAGTTTACTTCTCAAGATGAACTAAGTAATTGAGGCAAAAAGTATTGTTTGGTACTCACACCAAAAGTCAGTTGGACGTGAAATATCTGATAAAGAAGGTCAAGGTATGTTTTATGAGTTCAACTGTCTGTAATTTGTATTTACGATTTCTGCCTCAAAAATGTATTTTAAAACTTTTTAGTAAGAAGTTTAAGATGTTAAAATGTTTTATAGATCCATACAGTGGTATGAACACACTTGAAAAGATGAACATACATAAACAAATGAAAGTAGATATTATGAGATGTCTATGTTAGCCTGCAACTTAGGAGTGGGCGGAAAATGTGGTAGCACTCTTCTTCTTAAACAAAAGTAGAAATGTATAGGGTACACCAAGGTCTGCCTATCCATGGATGTCAGATAGCTTAAATATGTCATCTGTGGCTTCTGATCACATACAAAGTAATTGAATTATTCTGTGCTTTGCCATGTATCTTCTGAAACACATGCTCCATGCTACAGATAGCCACCGACAGCCCTTAATAACCTTTTGATTGATATAAAACTATCCTAAGAGGCAGTAATAAAAGAATATCAAATAATATTTTAATAAACTACTCAAAGCTGCTGAATGTAAGACATTTGTATGATAGTATTTCTTTGCTTTTCTTTACTATTCCATGGCATATTTGTTAGCTTATATGCAAGAAAAACAACACACATAAAGGTGCTAACTTTGGTGTTTTGTGTGCAAAATATAAAACTGAAATCTGGTTCATTTAGGAACCCAAATAGTTTGATACATTTGTTTCTACTTAGGACTAGTTAAAATAATCCTTTAGAGAGAGGATTTAATTTATTTCAAATCCTTCAACGTTCCAAAAAAGTCATTAAATGGGGCTTAAATATTTGGATATTTGTGGATGTGTGGATCTGAAATACCATCCTTTGATTCAGATTGCAAACAATGGTGCTTTTATTCATTATGATAACCAACTGTAATGTTTTTATACATGAATAAGTTTTCAATTTTTTATTTATTAAATAGTGATAAATTAAAAATAAGGCCTAACTTCAACTTGCTGATGAGCCTTTGTTTCCTCATCTATAAAAGAAGGATAATAATGGGATCCTCCCTGCTTAATTATAGGGCTGTAGGGAATATGCATGGATAGTATACATTTAAAATTTGCAAACTGTTAAGCCCTGTGTAAATGCTGTTGTTTGTGGTTGTAATTGAATGTAGAAATGAAGGCATAGCCACCAGAAAGGCTAAAAAGCCTCTTAATATTAACAAGCATTGGCAAGGATGTGGCACTATGTTGCTGTTAGGGTATAAATTGATATAACATTTTTGTAAAATGTTTAATAGTACTTCCAAAGCTAAGCATTAAAATACGTGTGGCCCAGTAATTCTGTTCTTCATTTGAAAAATGAGTACCTGTGTCCAACAAAAGACATGTACAAAAATGTCCATAGAAGGCTTATTTGTAATAACTAAAAAACTAAGAAATGTCGCCCTGGCCAGTTTGGCTCAGCGGTTAGAGCGTCAGCCTGCGGTCCGGAGAGACCCGGGTTCGGTTCCTGCTAAGGGCACGTACTTTGGTTGCAGTTTGTCCCCGGCCCTGGTTGGTCGTGCGGGTGGCAGCCACTCGATGTGTCCCTTCACGTCGATGTTTTTCTCTTTCTCTCCCTTCCTCTCTCTCCCTCCCACTCTATCTGTACAAAAATGGAGGAATATCCTCGGGTGAAGATAAAAAAAAACAAAAAAAAAAACTAAGAAATGTCCATTTACAGTAAATGCTTAAATAAATAGTGGTATACCCATACAATGGAAATTTACTGTATGATAAAAACAGAATACCCAATTAATAGGCATAAACTGTATAAATCTAAGAGACATGATGTTGTCTACTTGGAGACATGTACTACATGACTCCATTCACATGAAGTTCAAAAACAGACAAAACTAATCTGTGGTGAGTCAGAATAGACTGGAAAAGGTTTTGACTGGCAGTGGCACAAAGAAATCTTTTGGGATGCGGGAAATGTTCTACATCTTGATCTGGGTGGACTACAAGGGTGATAATGCATCAAGTTTAAGGTTTATGCACTTTAATGTGAGTTATACTCTAATTTAAAACAAGTGATAAGACTGCCAAGAAAAGTACAATTTAAGTGCTGTAGGAGATCAGAAGAGGGATAAAGTTTCTATTTGGGAGAATCAATGAAAACTTCTTAGAAGAAGTGATATTTGACCTGAGATAGGTTTTGAATATGACGTAAAACAGGTCCGAGCTTTTCAGGTTTAGGGAACAGAGGGAGCAACAGCACAAAGCTGGGAAAACATAGCATTTTTAGAGTGAATGATGAACGGTCCAGTTGGGAAGGCTCTTGGGGTACTTGGATGAAGTTTTGGGGAAAGGTAGGTTGAGATCAAGGTGTAGAGGGCTTTATTTTGTAGTATAGACACTGATGCCACAGGAACTTTTTGAGTGGAGTTGTAATGTGACTAGAGCTTCAGGACAATTAGATGATGGAGGAGATAGAAGGGAACAAGGATTATCAGTCTGGAACATTTTATAATATTCACACAGGAGGTTGTAAGACCTGAAGCAGTGTAGCAGCAGTGGGAAGAACATGGAAAGATGAGAAAATGAACTTGATAAATCGAAATGACTGGACTTGAAACTCAGCGAACAAGAGAAGGTCAAGGATGGACCCAAGGTTCATCACCCAAGGGTGAGGGAGAAGCTGGGAAGATAGATTTTAAACAATGGTGCTGAGTTTAATTGGGAATATGCTGGTTGGAATATGGAGAGAGAATGGGGGAGGGGGCAGGAGGAGGGGAAGAGAGAGATTAGGAGTGAAGCCCTGGATCTTGGGAAAACACCATGACTTGTCTGTTAGAGTTCCTTCAATATCAGACCTTGAAACAAAAATGGGTGTAAGAAGTTTACCCAGGAGGTGATCTCAGGAAGCGGAAGCCAGTGAGGGGGAGGGGGAGTGAGATGGGGAAGTGAGAAAAGCCATACAGAGAACGTTGAGCTGGTCCTTGCTACGAGGGGAGGGGTGTAGAAGCAGCATTATTTTATATGGTTTAGGTTTGGGGCTCCTCTTTTTTTCATTCATTTAGAGCTTTTTCTAAAATTCTTGCTTATATATAACTATTGTTTTCAGGCCCTATTATGAACCTTCTCTTGAAAAATTCCTATTTCTGTGAATTTGGGGTGGAAAGGGGAGCTAGGTATCTTCATCTGGATCCAATTTCCAGAATAGTTTTTAAGTGGAGAAATGCTATGTTGTTCCTAATCATAAATATATAATCTGCATTTCACTTGTTAGCTTTCAATATTTAATTTCTATATGTCTAAAATTTGTTTCCTGAAGTAAACAAACTATCTTAATTATCTGTTTTCAAAACAATTTAAATCCTAAAGAATGATTCTATTAACATATGGCATAGACACTTATATATAATGATGTCAAAAGCTAAGAATAATCACAGTTCACTAAAGGCTATCTTGAGGATATGGCACTAAAACTCACTCCTGCTGAAGGAACTCATGGTTTTTGTTAGTCATGCTAACAAAACCCCCAAATCAGTGGTTTGCAACCATTATTTCTTGCTCATGTTGCATTTGGCAGCTGCAGATCAGCTGTGATTCATCTCTCTATGTCCTCCCATTCCAGTACCTACACTGAAGGAGCAGCTCCTCTTTGGGAGAGAGTTAGCAGAAACACTCAATGGCTCGTAAAGGTTCTGTTCAGACATACAGTCACCCTGTCTGCTCACATGCCATTGACCAGAGCAAGTAACATGACCAAACCCAGTGTCAGAGGGGTGGGGATGCCTATTTCTTCCAAAGGGGACACTCACCGCAAGGCAAATAGGTTTGAATATTTGGGAACAAGAATATATCCTACTACAATGTTTTATTTAGCTTTTAACTTTAATCTTTCAAAGTATAGCCAGTATAAATAGATTTAACTACAGAGCATTATTCCGGTCTTTTTCTCATATGATATATAGTATATAGTAAATATATGTTGAAAATTACGTAGATTGCTTACAAATGAGTTAGGAAGATTACTTTGGAAACAATACTTGTGAATAAGTTCAGTTTAGCTCCTCTGTTGCAAATACCTTGCAAATTATTGTAGTGCATGGGATGGTTCATTCTGTGTGTCAATTTGAGTGTGCATGGGTGCCCAGATAAAACATTGCTTCTGTGAGGTTGTTTCTGGATGAGATTAGTATTTGAATTGGTGAACTCAGTAGATTGCCCTCTCTAATGTGGTTGGACAGCATTCAATCCCTTGAGGGCCCGAACAGAAGAGAAGGCAGAAGAAGGAGGAATTTGCTCCTTTTTTCCCCCTCACTAATTGAGTTGGACATCTCATCGTATCTTCTGCCCTTAGACCAGAAACTCCCCTTATTCTCAAGGCTTTAGATTCAGACTGAATTACACCACCCACTTTCCTGGGTCTCCTACTTGCAGATCTTGAAACTTCTCAGTCTCCATAATTGTGTGAGCCAATTCCACATAATAATCTCTCTCTCTCTCTCTCTCTCTCTCTCTCTCTCTCTCTCTCT